AACATTATACCGATAAATGGGTTGATAAATTTTCTATTATTCTATCATAATTTAATATTTATTATGCTATTACCACTGAAATTTTTTGAATCTCTTAATGAATAATTTCAAGATTAATAAAAAAAAAATCAAATTAAAAAAATTGTTAATATATTCTTATAAATAGGTATAATAAAATCACAGCTAACATAAATCTTATACAATAAGTTGATGTTATTTTACAAGTTGTAAATTACAACAACAAAACAAGTGAAAATTGGATCATTGTTAGACTTCACAACAGATAAATGTAGGTAGATAACCTATCTATTAAAGGAGTAACAATAAACTCAAAATAATATTTTATTCAAATTAATATATTTTTTTAAATGTATGATAAATAATAAAATTACAGCTATTAAATCTTTCATAATACTTATTTATTTCTTAGTTTTTATCCTAGAATTTATATACGTTTTGGAAGCTTATAAAATCGATAAAAATGCGAGCTTTATTATTACGTTAAAATATAATCAACGTTGAACCATAAATAAAAGAATTCAATTTTATATATTTTTTATCTGGTAATATATGCGGAGCAAAAGCCATGAATATTTGAAATGAAAAAATATAAAAATGAGAAAGTTTAAAAGTATAACATAAAGATATACATAATGTTCTTTAGGCCCTCTGTAATAGTTTTTTTTAGCAAACAATTATGAATTATGGTTGTTGAGAATTTAACACACATTTTTTAAAACTTAATTTTTAACTAAAATTATACGACGATAGTTATAAGTTTATGATATAAGTACCTAAGTACTTGGTTGACGTAATATGCGTATAGCTGAGTAATATAATAATGTAATTATTTTTCTTTGGTCTATATGCTATACAGCAATCTTGCAGTAAAAGAATACAAGTTTCAAGATATTTATACAAAATAACATAGCTTATGCTTAATACACATACGTTTTTATAAAATAAATGTTATACAACGCATTAATAATATGTAATTATTTGTGTAAATATTATGTCTTATTATTTAATATCATTTAACGAATTTCAAAAATTTCAAAAATATACAAATTTATATTTATACCTTTACTGTTTAATAAAAATCTGAAAAAGATCACACGTATTTCAGTTAATGTGTGTAGCCATTTATATTTCATTATTTAATTCCATTTTTTGCTTTTAAATCTAGTGGGATAAGCCTTTCCCCTTCAGGATTAAGTAGGTATTATTTTTACGTAAACAAAAAGCGTCAGATTCATATAGGTGAATTGTTTATTTAAATTATAATCTTCCAAAAAATGTTTTAAGTAAAAATATGTATTTAAAAATTTCAGTTTTGTTTTTAACTATATAAAAATTGTATAAGCTTATTAGGGATTTTGAAATCTAGTATAGGTATAATAAAATACTTGATTATGAGAAAACTAACATAAAATATTTATCTAGGTATTTAAAATAAGTTATCGTCTTCATTGAATTAAATAATGATGTATGTTTTTATAGTAATTATAATAATGATGTAGCATTTTAAGTTCAAATATTTACTTAAAAATTGATTACTTGTATTTATATATATAAATATATTATAATTTAAATATAGGTATTATAATATATCCTAGACTGACAAATTATCTCCGTTCAGAATCGTTTTTCGTATACAATGATACCTCTCATTGCATTCAAATTTAACACATCCATTAAAGTGACTTACTCTTTATTTCTTCTATACAGTAGAGCAATGCCCACTTTTTTATATTATTTTAAAATTCCAAAAAATAAACAATAGATATGAGATGTCTAATATCAAACAATAATTAGATCAGTCACCGCTATGCTGTAGTATAGGTGTCATGTATACCTCGTTATTGAGTTAGTGATTGTAATGGATGTGTTTAATTTTAATTCAATGATAAACTATTATATACGAAAAACTAA